AAGACCATTTTCCACCTGTAGAGGTAGGACCACAGCGGGCCCCCCATCCCAGTCTGCTCGCGTCGGATTCTATGACTAGATCCGGAGTGGCGCCGAAGATTGCCTTGCCGTTCCATGCTTCCATGTGTTGAAGCCACCATGCCAGTTCCTCTTTTGCCGCGCAGTCTAGAGGTACAGAATCTGAATAGGAGTGACCCAAGCGTAGGTGAGTTGCCTTGAGTTGTTGTAGGGATCTGTAGTGGAGAGGGCCTGGGAAGATCGCTTGTATAGAGGCCGAGAGCAGGCCAATTATCCTGGCTAGCTGTCGGAGGGTTAAGACTGGTCGAGTCAACGTCCTCCGGATTTCCTTCTTGATAAGTTTTACTTTCGCGGTAGGAAGACTGAGCGTTCCGTGTACTGCGTCTATATCGAAGCCCAAAAACTCTATCGAGTGTGAAGGTTGTAGGATCGATTTGTCCCAATTGATTAGGAAACCTAGGTTTTGCAAAAGGGTCACTGTCCAGAATAGGTGTTGATTCAGTAGCTGTGTGTCTTGAGCCATGATCAGCATGTCGTCGAGGTATATGATCAGACGTACACCTCTGCTGCGAAGGAGGGCAACTACCGGTTTCAGCAGCTTGGTGAAGCACCACGGGGCTGAAGACAGGCCGAAAGGGAGGCAGCGGAAACGCCACATCGTCTGTTCCCATTGGAATTGCAGTAATTGCTGACAGTCCTCGGCAATCGGTATTGTGAGGTATGCATCCTGGAGGTCCAACTTTACCATCCAGTCTCCCAGTCTTAGTAGGTCTCGGAGGCAGTGTATTCCTTCCATCTTGAAGTGATGGTATGTGACAAAGGCGTTGAGAGGCCGCAAGTTTATTACTGGCCTCGTGCCTCCACCTTTCTTGGGTACTAGGAAGATGTTGCTTAGGAACCCGGGGGCGGTAATGGGAACCCTGTATATCGCACATTTTTCCTCCAGTGTGCGAATCTCTTTTAACACTAGTTGTTTGTCTAGTGGGGAAAAAACAATCCGATGTGGCAATGAGAGTTGAATCGGCTGTTGTGTAAATTCGATGTGATAGCCGAGGATGGTCTCTAGGACCCATGTATCTGAGGTTAGGTTGTGCCACGCATCCTGGAAATGAAACAATCTGCCCCCCACAGGTACAAAGGGAAAGGTGCGTAATGTGGAGTGACTCACCATAAGGCCGACGGCCATAGGAGGATCCCCTGGTTCCGCGTGGATGCCATGATCTGCCCCTGGTCGGGAAGAATGGTGATTGTGCCCTCGGTTCGGGTGGGTGGAACCGTGGTGTGGCGGAGCCTCGATAGCCCCGGAACTGAGTCCGGGAGGGGCGGCCGGACAGACGGCCCCGCTGTCTGCCGGCCCCCCCGAAAACCTTTTGCGAGAACACTCGCTTCATATTATGTTGTGCCTTATCTAGTGCCGTAAATGTGTTTACGTAATTACCCAGGGTCTTAACAAAATTGTCTCCGAATAAGAGACCTTTTGCCTGTGTTCCAGGCTCAGAGATTGCCAAATGCACTAGTTTTGGCTCGATTTTCATCAATATGGCTTTACGCCTTTCTGTGGCCAAAGCGGTGTTGGCATTTCCTATTAGGCATATGCCCCTCTGAATCCAGCCTCTGATGGCCATCAAGTCAATTGGGGTCCCCCCAGTAAGGGCCGCTTCGACCATATCGAAGATTTTAGCTATAGGCCCGAGTATGTCCAGGATCTTGTCCTGGCAGTGTTTTAAGGAGTAGTCCAAACCCTTCTTGGCCCTCCAACCTGACTTACCCAGGAATTGGGCGACCTTGGGATCCACTTCAGGGGTCACGCAAGCCATGTCTGGGACAGTGGGCCTTGGGCATTCCGCCCTCAGTTTGCTTCTTGTGGCCTTGTCGAGGGGTTTTCTGACCCTAGTCGCAATATAAACGGCCACATGAGTTGTGGGGTACCACTCCGCTGAACGCGGATTATGCAAGGTGTCGGGATCAAAAAGGGGTTCCCCTTGGGGGTCTAATACAGCGGACTCATCCGTCTCGCGCTCCGCGTCTAAAGCTGGAGGCGCGGTGTCGCTGCGTTCGGGGGACGAATTGTCTGAATTAATTGGGTCGATGTCATCGGACCCATCTGATACCTCCTCTGAGTCCGAGTCGGAGTCGGACGGATCAGATAGGGCTTTTGCCCTCTTCCAAGTCCGCACCGTTTTTGCCCGGCGGGGGGCTCTTTTACGTGGGAGCACCACGTCATCAATTTCAACAGGGCGCAACCTGTCCGTCTTACTGGTTCTGGAGGTAGCACCTGACAGATGGTGCGATTTGCACGTAGCCTTGCGGCCGCTAGGGACCATAGGCTTGCTATCAGTGGATATAGGGGGTGCCGAGCCCGGGTTGTGACCGGATGCCCTAATAGCAGAGGAAATAGAGTGGGACAGGGTGTCCGACATCGCCCCCATGGCGGTAAAAATGGCCTGTGTAACAGACCTACTCATCGTGGCATCCAGGAGCGCCTGGAACTCCTCTGAGTTCACGTGCTCCTGGGATGCGTCCCCAACTCCCCCAATGACAGCAGCGTCTGTAGACATGGCTGTCTTATCACGCTTGCTGGGTTTAGTAGAGGTGGGAGGGGGGGTAACTGTCTTTTTATCAGCAGGGGACTGCATAGTGATCAGGAATGTGCACAGTAACAGTAGAGGGAGGCACTGAAATAAACCGTCACTATTGGACAAAATGCACACTTTCAACACTGCAGAGGTTAATAAAACCAGCAGTATAGGGCAAGTGGCTGAGCACTTGAGTTAAATTTAAGGCAGGCACAGTTATAAAGAGGCACAAAGTATTTTTGGCACATATAATATGGCAGCTTACCGAGTGTTCCCTCAGGAATGACTCCTGGGGGACACTGGTAAGCTGCCCAACACTTCCCTCACCCAATCAGCTCGCGCCCCTCCCTGTCAGAGTGGCGCGGACCGCGGGCGAAAAGAGCGGCAAAATTGCCCTCAGTTAAGATGGCCGCCGCGATGCGCGAGTGCGGACCGCGCATGCGCGAGCGGCAGAAACGGCCGCCAAAGAAACAGCCGCCCGCCCGGCGGCGAAACTGCTCGTTCCGGGCCGGGGGGGGTGAGGGGGGGTGGGGAGAGGATGCCTGAGTGACCCCCACCCGGGGAAGTGGAATGAGGGACGGGTTATAAACAACCCGAAAACGGCAGTGCAGGATGGGGCTTGCCTCAGGGAGGAGGCAAGCACCCTGCACTGGGAAACAGAGTAAAACAAACAGTAGTCAAATACACATACAAATTGAATATTAGACAAAGAAAAACTGATATTTAAAATGAACAGTAGAAAACAATAATAATATGAATCAGGAGAAAACTGAACAACACAATATTTGAGGAGCTGAAAATATGTGGTACTTAGCTGAGGCAGCAGCAAAGAAAGAGGAAGTAGTTTACCTCACATGAAGGGATATAGTACAAGGACTGATCCTATTGGTTAATGGATATGGAATGTTATATGGTTAACCCTTAAGGGTATTTGTTTTATCTTTTTGTTATTGCTATATTAAAAATATCAATATCCTTTCTTTGCTGCTGAGGAATAAAGAAAGAGATAAAGCCTAATAAGAGCCTCCGTGTCCTTTAATAAAATTATAGTATCACAGTTCTACTTTTACTGATAAATCATAGTTAACCCTTTTTGGTAACGTGTTTACCTGAGCTTTCCTCTGGAGAGTGAAGCTCATAGAGAACAGAGACACAAGCTGATTAAGTAAACATTTAATCTGACAAAAAGGATTCACAGTGCTGAGTACAAAATACAGAAATAAATGACATACAGATAACAAATTGCAAAACAGTACATAAAATAAAATAGGAGAAAACACAAGAAATTCCTTACATATATTTACCCCATATAGAATTCTTGTGGGAGTCTTAGATGGTATAGGTCTCCTAGAAGTTACTGACAAAAGAAAAATGAATAACTGACTCCCTGGATAGTCCAACACCCTCATATATCTAAACTAGCTGTTTCTCAGTGGGCAGACCCCTGGGGGGGGGATCAGAGGGGGTTGGTCTGGCAGTCTATTGCCCACTCTATGAAATTCCTTGTGTCCAGCTCTGGTGATGGCTATCTAGATGTTTTATGGTCTAGGCCTGGTGCAAGATCAAAGACCACAATAAATGTCATCCCAAGGTTTACAAAAACCAACTCTTAACATATATAAACACACATCAAACACCAACTCATGCTTTTGGTATGACACCTCCCCCTTAAGATGGTGGACAGAAAAATTCAGCCACAGGCTGATTTATCTGTCTACCATTAACCCTCTAGTTGCCGAGACAGGCCATCTGCATTCCCATGCAAGCTGCCCTTTTTGTGCCGGGCAGTGAAATTATACTGTTGGAGGATAGGGCTCCAATGGAGCAGTTTATCATTGTTACCTGTCACCTGCAGCAGGTTGTGATCAGTCCATACCACAGCTACACCCTCAACAAACATGCCTGATTTGTCTGTTTCAATTTCCCATCGATCTCTGGTAACATCCCTTAAACCACACCCACTGCGCTCATGTAGTAGTTGTAAGGGGAAGAAACCAATGGATTTCTGCAGCACTCCCCGGTAAGCACACAAAAAAGCAGACAGAGAACACTCCCAGGATAGATGTGCTGTATCAACACCCATCATCTCTTTTATTTTGCGGTCTGTCTGCTGGTTCACAATCAGAAAGTTGCTTAGGTGTATGCGTGAGTTGTGATAAACGGACAAGGTTCCTGGTTCCCCCAACAGTATGTTTCCCTGCAGCCATCCTTCCTGGACCCACAGGCTGAGTCTGTCCGTGCCCCTCACTTTCACTCCAGGTCATCACACATACAGAACTTTGGAAACTGGCTAAGCCTGCCGCAGAGTAAAGCTCACACACCCTCTGCCCTCCCTCATAGCCTCGCTGTCCCTTCACATTTTCACCCACCACATCACATACATCTGCTTCAGGCACATATTGGCACATATATTCATTCAGCCCCCTCTCGCTGGAAGGCTTTTCCCATACATTTTCACAGGACACATTTGACCCCCCTTGATCAGATACAGAATTTTGCACTCACATAATTTCTTCTCCAAGGCAGGCCATCCTCTCGCAATCTCACATAGCCCCTCAGACTCTGCAGCCGTGACCCACTGCTGACTTGTTACCCTGGCTCTCACCTTCCTCCTCCCCCTTACTCTCTGACATCCCAGCCTCACAGTAATTTAATACAGGCACATCACTACTCACCCCTATCTCACATTTGGTAGACATCACTGGTTCAGTTACAGGTAGATCTTTATCCACACCCTGCTCTCCCTCCCAGCAATCACACTTCACAATGTCTCCCAAAGTTTCACACAATACCTTAGGTGGAGCAGTCAGCCCTTCTGGCTCACAAACAGTGTCCGCTGGAGCATAGTGACAGAGCATCCTGCCCAAATCATTCCCCAACAGAACATTAACAGGGATATCCTCTGAAATCCCCACTTCCCGCAAACCTTTGCCCGCACCCCAATCAAGGTACACACGTGCCAAGGGCACAGCGGGGCATACACCCCCAATTCCTTTGATGGACATGGTTCTTCCAGGGATTATGTCCTCCGTATTCACCACTTCAGGTCGCACCAGGGTGAAGGAAGCTCCAGAATCTCTCAGTCCCATGGTCACTCGGTCACCCACAATTACACTCTGCAGGTTATCCTCTCGTTTCCCCACGGACCCACCCACAAGCAATACTGATGGTGCTCCTCCACGGACTGGTGAGGGCATATTCCTAGTGGGGCAAGTCCTGCTCAGATGACCAATCTGGTTGCATCAAAAACAACGGCGGGCATCTGACTCACTTGACATAGCCCCGGCTACGCTGGCAGTCGGCGGTGAAGTTCTCACTGCAGATCTTACAGGTGGTGATTGAACTGTAGCTTCTCTCCAGGTCGAAGTAGCAGCTGACACAAGTCCACGCCTGGATGTGGGTGCATGGATGTCGGCATAGTCATCTGCCAGTTCTGCAGCAGCACTAGCATTTTTTGGCTTTCTTTCCAAAATCCACTCTCGTACATTAGGGCTCCGGGTCTGCAAGAACTGCTCCAGGACCATTAAGTCATTAAGGGCTTCATAGGTAGTAGCTTGTACTCCTGTTACCCATTGCCGGAACGTGGTTTCTAATTGTGCAATATATAGAATGCAGCTGGATGATGGGCATTGCTGCATACTCCTAAACTTTTTCCTGTAAGACTCAGGAGTAAGGTTAAAAGTTTTTTGCAATGCAGATTTGATTGCCTCATAGTTGTTATCAGTCTCTGGGGGAAGGGACACAAACACATCCAAGGCTTTCCCTTTCAGTTGTGGAGTTAAATATCTGCCCCACTGGTCTGAGGGTAGTTGATGCTGCCAGCATACTTTCTCAAAACTTTTTAAAAATACATCCAAATCTGTCCCTTCTTCGAGGGAAGGAAAATCATCCTTACGGAGCCTACGTGTGCTGGACTCTGATGCATTGCTGTTCAGTGAGGACTGAAGGGTAAATTGCAGTTTAGCAAGTTCCAGCTCATGTCTCCTTTGTGCCTCCCTTTCGGCTAGCCTCTCTGCAGATTCCCTTTCTGCAGCCTGCTGTTGGATCATCACATGCAGGGCCTCCTGAGGATTTGCAGCCATCAGTTGCCGAAATAAATCAGTTGAGCAAATGTCCTTAATGTTTTGAGGGGTACAACCACCAGGCATTTCAGTAAGCAACACTCCTGCAGTAGTAGGGAGCTCGGTAACCCTTTCAGTGTCCGTCTCTGGCTGGAAAATATGGCTGTCAGCCTCCACAAGGTCAGCAATAAGTTGTGCCTTATTTTTGCCAAAAGTTGGTAAATTCTTTTCTTGGCACAACAATTCCAAGGCCTCTTTTGATTGTTTGCGATAGGCCTCCATATTCACAAATAGGATAGAGAAAGAAAAACAAAAGATGGGAGGGGAGAACTGTTTTGCACTTTGTATGTATTTTAAATCAGCACTGAGCTTGGTCTTTGGAAATTACACAAAAACAAGTATGCAATTTCTTTTAGTGCTAAGACCCCCTTTACAGGTAAAATCTAGCAAGCACTAAAAATCTCTAAATATATCCCACTAGCTGCCGCCAGTTTGTCACGTGCGTGGGCTATAGGCCCAGCCGAGACAGTGGGGAGAGTGTGGAAGTGACAGGGTTAATGACACCAGACCCCTGGTTACCTGTTGCTAGTCCCAGCAACCACTCAATTAACCCCTGCAATCCCTTCTACACTAACCCCCTTAGTACACACTTTACTGCCACCACCAAGACTTTTAAACCCGGGCGTCTTAGGTTACCCCACACACAGGAGAATTATAGTATCACAGTTCTACTTTTACTGATAAAACATATATAGTTAACCCCTTTTGGTAACGTGTTTACCTGAGCTTTCCTCTGGAGAGTGAAGCTCATAGAGAACAGAGACACAAGCTGATTAAGTAAACATTTAATCTGACAAAAGGATTCACAGTGCTGAGTACAAAATACAGAAATAAATGACATACAGATAACAAATTGCAAAACAGTACATAAAATAAAATAGGAGAAAACACAAGAAATTCCTTCCATATATTTACCCCATATAGAATTCTTGTGGGAGTCTTAGATGGTATAGATCTCCTAGAAGTTACTGACAAAAAGAAAAATGAATAACTGACTTCCCTGGATAGTCCAACACCCTCATATATCTAAACTAGCTGTTTCTCAGTGGGCAGACCCCTGGGGGGGGGATCAGAGGGGGCTGGTCTGGCAGTCTATTGCCCACTCTATGAAATTCCTTGTGTCCAGCTCTGGTGATGGCTATCTAGATGTTTTATGGTCTAGGCCTGGTGCCAGATCAAAGACCACAATAAACGTCATCCCAAGGTTTACAAAAAAACAACTCTTAACATATATAAACACACATCAAACACCAACTCATGCTTTTGGCATGACACCCCCTCACACACAGTTTCATGGTTAGTGTTATGGGGATATGTTGGATTTTGGGGTACTTTCTGAACTTTGGGAAAATGAGTTTTTTCTGCCTGGAGATAATTAAGTTACTTACAGGACTTTACTCAATTATCTCCTAAGCAGAGGGGAGGGATTGTGTGCTGTACATGGGCGTGTCACAGACTGTATGTTTGTTCTGATTGGTTTGTGTCCTTTGTGTTCCTGTGCCCCATCAGGTCCAGGGGTGTTCCTCTGGCCTGGAGAATTGTATAAAAGCCAACCTGAACCATTAAAGATCAGATCATCTTGCATCTTCATGAGGTTTCAGCTCATGTTTGGGGGATTGGAGAACTACACTCTGGGGATTGCTATAATCACTATACTCCCCTGAGTATAATCACTAAGCTCTGCTAAGAGCTTGTTCCTGTTTCTGCTCTCTGGAATTTGGAGAGAGGTTGACCTGCTGGAAGTTGGATCCTGGTCTTGGGTCCAGGGTGGGTAGGAAGCAGAGAGACCCCAACCAAGCTGCGGCGGTTTGTGGGGTCTGCAGTAGTTATGGTGTTCCAGCGCAGTGCTTATGGTACTCATTAGTACTAGGAAGCAGCGATTGACAGAGGTACCTGGTCAGGGTGCCAGGCGGTCCGTCACACTGATCAATGGTTTGTGTTATATCCCCTCCCTCAAACACTTATCAATGGTTAGTGTTATATCCCCCCCTCACACACCGATTATTGGTTTGTGTTATAACCCCCCTGACACACCGATTATTGGTTTGTGTTATAGCCCCCCCTCACACACTGATCAATGGTTAGTGTTATATCCCCCCTCACACACTGATTAGTGGTTTGTGTTATATCCTCCCCTGACACACCGATTATTGGTTTGTGTTATATCCCCCCTGACACACCGATTATTGGTTTGTGTTATTTCCCCCCTGACACACAGATTATTGGTTTGTGTTATATCCCCCCCGACACACCGATTATTGGTTTGTGTTATATCCCCCCCAGACATGATTATTGGTTTGTGTTATATCCCCCCCAGACACCGATTATTGGTTTGTGCTATATCCCCCCCGACACACCGATTATTGGTTTGTGTTATATCCCCCCCAGACATGATTATTGGTTTGTGTTATATCCCCCCCAGACACCGATTATTGGTTTGTGCTATATCCCCCCCGACACACCGATTATTGGTTATGCTCCCATCCTCTCAACACTTGATTATTGGTTAGTGTTATATCCCCAGACAATCATTATTGGTTTGTGTTATATCCCCATTAATAATCATTGGTTTGTGTTGCTATATCCCCGACACACCGACATTATTGTGTTATATCCCCAGACACCCATTATTGGTTTGTGTTATATCCCCCGACACAATCGGATATTGTTTGTGTTATATCCCACATACTGCTTAATGTATTAGTGTTCTATCCTCTCAAACACTGATTGGTTTGTGTTATATCCCCCCCGACACACCGATTATTGGTTTGTGTTATATCCCCCCAGACACCGATTATTGGTTTGTGTTATATCCCCCCCGACACACCGATTATTGGTTTGTGTTATATCCCCCCAGACACCGATTATTGGTTTGTGTTATATCCCCCCCGACACACCGATTATTGGTTTGTGTTATATCCCCCCCCCACATACTGCTTAATGGTTAGTGTTCTATCCCCTCTCAAACACTGATTATTGGTTAGTGTTATATCCCCCCAGACACCGATTATTGGTTTGTGTTATATCCCCCCAGACACCGATTATTGGTTTGTGTTATATCCCCCCCGACACACCGATTATTGGTTTGTGTTATATCCCCCCAGACACCGATTATTGGTTTGTGTTATATCCCCCCCGACACACCGATTATTGGTT